CTTCCACTTCTCGTACAGGAAGTCCCTTAGCCGTTCGAATTTCGCCTTGGTCTCCCCGTCGGCGGGATTAGCCTTGGAAGCCTTGTAGGAGTACTCAAGACGTCGCGTCAGGTCGTCCCACAGCCGCCTATCCCATTCTTCGATGACGGCCATTACAAAGTTTCTTCTTTGTAAGGGCCTCATCCCCCTCATATATTCGTCATCGATATCGACGAATTGTCTGGTGGGGGGAGGGGGATTAGCACCACCTTGTGCGGTGGCGGCGGAGGAAGAGGAAGAGGAAGAGGAAAAGGGGGCAGGGCACGACTCCGGTACTGTGGGGTCTGGGGCTTGTTGTACCGGAGTTGGGCGGCTGTTGGGGGGACGGGCTTGGCGAGGGGGGTTCCTGCGCGGGGCCCTCTTCTTGGTGGCGGGCTCTTCGGTGCTGCTCGCCAGGGCCCTCTTCCCTCGGGTCTTCTTCGAGGTGGGCGTTGTTGTCTTGGTGGTCCTCTTTTCAAAGGGCATGATGAATGTGATGGTTGTTTATAGAGGTTGTAAGAGTGTGTGGTGATAGAAGACGAGTATGTAGTAATGGAAGATGTGTGATGGCGATAGAAGAAGAGCGTGTGGTAATAGAAGAAGAGTTTGTGGTGTCGGGGAACCTACTACACCAGCTTGCTTTTATAGAGGCTCAAAATAGGGTTTACACAGTACGATCAATGCTATGAAATGCCATGGCGAAATCCCATGCAGGGAACGGTATTCTACTCTACCATGGGTGAATACGATCTTCCGTTATGGCCGGAGGCAATCGTCATTAAGGTTGAATTTTGCATGAAAACGCAGGGACTGTATATTATCGGCCTACCTATCTGGGCGAGGGCACCACCCGAACACATATCGTCACGAGAAATTCAGCTATGCTTAGATTTAACCATCCTTGTATGGTGTGGAGTGTAGATATCTTGATCCCGTAAGTCAACTGCAGACATTCCTAGATAATGCCGATTTCTGTGCGATCTGGGCGATGCTGATTGCTCCGGGTTCGGAATTCCGTCTCCAGAAGACCAGGCTCTCGGACAACCGCAAGGAAGGTGCAGACTCCGCTACAGTAGGTAACCATCTTACCTAGCACTATGGGCAATATCGCCTTTCACGTTGCATCATTCTTGCAATGCTAAGGTTTTGAACTTACCTAGTAGACATCGCCACTTGAAAATAGTTATAATAGTTTTATGGGTGTGGATGAAAAGGTGCTAAAGATGCGCACGCACACCCACAGGTTAGATAGCCAAAAGAGGTGTAACGGGTGTGAGAATGGCCGTTTGACCTGATGCCCAACGTATACCCTCTACCTGTGGCGGAAATATCACCAGGTAAAAAGAAGGAGCCTAGGATACAACGGTGGGCGTAAACCACTACCTACATTTATTTTTCACATCCATCATCCCTGTCCTCTACAATATCCCTTGGCTTTCCGATGAATCATACGGCAACTTCATTGTCCGAAGTATGTTGTCATCCTCAATGTGGTGCGTCCCGGAGGTCCGTCCGTGACTTGTTTTCCCATTCCCCCTTCTTATACACGGCCATACGCCTACGGCAAAAGATTGCATGCAAATGTCTTCGTTAATCATCTCCCTTAGAATCCGACCACTCTACCAGGGACTCTCCATATCTACGGTCCTCCCATAAATATGGTTGTAGCCTTGACTAAACGGTCAGGATCGGATCGAGTACTAGAGTTCTTCTTCCGCTCGTTACCGAAAAGCAAAATTTTACCTTGTCGTTTTTTTCTTAGCATGTGGTACCCGTAACTTGTGTGCATGTGTATAGGTATTTCTTTTAGCCAGTCGCTAAAATCACACCTTTACCTTGTCGTTATTTCTGACATGTGACACGCGTTTCTCGTGTGTACGTGTAAGAATGCCAGGATAGGCGCGATAGAAACGCGTAGACAGTGCTTATTCACAGACTGCAGCTCTAACCACAATACTAAGTAAGTATGCAGATAACTGTATTTAGTATATTGCAAAGGAAGTATTACACTGTGACCTAATTCCTATTATGCACCCCTCTACCTACATTTCATTACCCTATAGTCGTATTTTGCAACTTGCCACTTTGACAAGAAGGCGGCAGGGGTAGGTGGTCGTTTACATCCTGTAGCCCAACCAGTGAGACGATTTGCCTAGTCGGACATACTCGCAATCCACCTAACCGTTACAAGAGGGCCTACGAGTACAATAGCTACCTATCAAAGGTCATGAAGAGGCAATTATCATGTTAGGTACCCACCTTACAGGGTTATATACAGAAAAAGAAAGCAAATTATTTCCAAGGGGAATTAACCTGGCAAACAAGGTATGTCTATTCTCTATTTCTTTCTTGCCGCATAGAACATACATTATACCAGTCAGCAACTATGAAGCTGGGCTTGATTAAAAACAGGGGTCCTCCCAGAACCCAGGGGTGTAGGGGAAGTAAAGACCCTTCTTAGAAAGTCCAGCAGATTCGACCTTCTTTCCTAGCAAACTGTACGCGTAATAACCCCCCTCTAAACAAATAAACAACAACAAAGGAAAGTTTGCCACCCCGCTGTAACCACAGCAACAACAACCTGAGAAGAATAAGGCAATCGCAATCGGTTTACACAGTCTTCTATTCCTAACTTGTTAACATACTTGCATAAGGTAAGTAGGTAGCAAGTCCTAGTAAAATAGTAATGGCAGTGTTTAAGGTAATCCCCCGCATCGAACAACGGATCAGATAGGTGGCTCTAGACACTACCTTACCGTATAACAGATGATCCCGTGTTACTAGACGATCGGTCAATGGAATTACGTTGTACTCCCGATGGATCTGGCACTAGGGGCACATGATCAATCGGCTCTGCGGCTTAATGATAATAGTAGGACTTGTGATTTTGAAACCCTGCGCAGATCTAATGGATGGAGTCACGCAGTGTGGCATTAGCACAGTATCCTTCAGAAACATACTGGTATGATACAGTGTCTCTATCAAAACAAATTACTCGTTTCTGTAACCAATGCATCAGAGGACCGTTTTCAGTATCCTTTGAAAACACACTATATTGTTTTAAGACTCTTCCCTATCAACCAGGATATCTTGTTCATGTTAATGGTGTAGTATCTCGACTAAACATTGAAAAGACCGCAAAAGAAAGGAGAGAGCTATGCCAAGACAGACAAATAACCGTTTTAGACGGTCGGAATCAACGCGATTGGCCAGCCCTGTTTTTGCGCGACGAGGGGCTTTTTGGTGTGGGGTATGTATGGGTCCGGATTTACCTAGAATAGCTCCGGAGCCAGGCGCCCGGGAGTGTACGAGTAGGTACACGCAGGTACTCGTATACCATAATGACATCATAGTAAAGATAACCAACCTGGAGACATTTTCCTTCTTCAATATCCATTTGAAACCCTTAGTAACATTTTAGAACCCTGCCTATAGTATAGTGTGTTAGTCTAGCATTAAACCAGGTTTTTGGTTTTTCTTCAGCTTTGCTACGTCAGTACAGTAGCCAAGGCTTGTTTGCATGCCGTCGATACTAATATTCTAGAAGTCGCCCCTTGTGAAGCTTTTCCCCCCTTAACAAGGTTCATCATGTAACGCCGATATCATTCCGTGTATGGCATAATAGACTGGTCCAACATCAACATCAAGTAAATTATTATCACGAATCGGACGATATACCTCCTTCATGCCCTTTGCATACCTTTATAAGAGAAGCATATCCAATGGTAGAGAGGCAGTCAAGCAAAGTGGGCTTATTGGCGTGGTGGTCAGTGTTACTGGCAGTCGGGATTCTCGCAAAAGATGACCTCCCCCCGAAAAGGGGCCTGACCTACATCCGCAACGACGATCCGCACAACGGAGACTACGACATCTTACTCTCGGAGAAATCGCCGCTCACATGGTACTTTACCTGGTCGCCGATTCCAGCACCGCGAGATACCTTTCCCAAAGGCGCGGAATCAAGAGTCGAGTTCGTCCCGACACTACCAAGCACAGATAATCTAGATGACAACGTCAAGGCGCTTGATCGCGTACCGAAATCTTCCGAGCATCTCTTTACTTTTAACGAACCAGACGGGACGACGGATTCCGGCGGTTCGAGCATTACCCCGGAGGACGCGGCCAAGGCGTACATTGAAAAGATTGTACCTCTCCGAGAACGGTTCCTGATATCGCATCCTAGCGTGACGGGGTCCTCGCGGGGTTTGGACTGGTTGGATGATTTCAATTCGTCTTGTTGGGATATCGACGCGGATAATGGCTGTCCTGCGGATTTCGTGGTTGCGCATTGGTACGGGCCGTTTGAGGGATTGGTCTCCTGGTTGGATCAATTGTCGGGGTGGTATAACCAGAGTGGCAGTAGTATCGAGAAAGATGTCAAGATATGGGTGAGCGAGTTGGGATTGGCCCAAGCGGATTCTGATACAACATTTGATATGATGAAAAGGACACTTCCCTACTTGGACCAGCTGGACGATGTGGAGAAGTACGCGTGGTTTGGAGTTTTTAGGCCAAAGGAGGCCAATTCTTGGACGGGTGATAGCTTGGCTTTGTTTGAGAATGATGGGGGTCTTAGCGAGTTGGGCGCATATTATCTTGGAGGGGAGGAGAATGGTTTCAAACCCGGTCAACAGGGTCAACCCAGTGGTGGAAACGGAAATAACTCAGGTAATGGTGGCAATGGCGACGATGACGATGACGATGATGACGATGGAGATGCTAACGGCGCGATAGGTCTTCGAACCTCGCTATGGATATTATTTTTTGTGTTTTGTATGATTTGGATTCTTTAATGACGGCGATGGATAAGAAGAGCTTACATGATTGGATATAATCACATAATATGCAGCACTTAAACCTCATATTTACGATGAACATGATGTGTCACAGAAATGACTGACTCGTGAGAGAAACGGTGTTTAGCCGGCTAGCTTCCCACGTAGCTTGGTGATAAGCCATTTCTTATGCAAAAACATCAACAAGGCTGGTTGGCGAAATGGTATCGCGTTGCTTTCCGGTGGCAAAGATTGCGGGTTCGAGTCCCGTGCTGGTCGCATAAGGTTAAAGATCCTTTACCTTATTTTTTTTTAGCATTTCCTCCCTTCCTTTCCTCCCGTGTACATTATCATCCTAACATCAATATAAGGCCAGGCCCGTCCCGGTCTGCTGCCTTGAAATAGCCATGCATGAATAGGTACAAAGACCGTTTTAAACTTGTGTTAATTAGTCAATCCGTAAAACACCAAGACTTGATGATATTCACAAGTGGCAAATAAGATGAGAACCTTTTTTTCTTCTGCGCAAACTGTACATTTTAGCAAACTTCGGTGCTATATATCTACATACAAGAGAGGAGCTTTGCCTCCTTACTTCTCGTGCTCCCTATCCTTGATGACCGAGACCAACCTTGACGCCAAGCGTTCTCAGTAGGAGAAAATGTCTATGGTAGTCTTCATGTTCATGTCTCAATGATGCCCACCAGGCAAAAAAGCAAAATGATACCTCCGCCAGTTCCTCTCCCTTTCTTCGGCCTCTCCAGCCAACAGACAGAAACCTATTGCCGCAAGTCAAAACAACGACTTAAAAGACCAGGCAAAATGCACCATCCCATCCCCAGACCCTATCCTATCCTTTGTCCAGCCTTCTTCAGCGCCTGACGACATACCTCCCAATAGAATCCTCGGAAATCCAAGCCTTGGAACCAATCATCTCCCTACACCACCTCTCCACCAACGCCTCGTCCATGCCGGAAAACATGCCATTGAGCAGAATATTCGCGAAATCGATATCCTTGCCCTTTACAACGATATCTTCAACGGATGAACCCCCCTCGGATACTTTATACGCAACTACCCCTTTTGTATGGATCGCGTAGACCAATAGACTTGTGGGGCGATTGCTGCTGTGTTTGATCTCGGATGATGGGAGTGGTTGGGTTGCGTGGGGGTTGGCGTGTTCGGGGTTCTTTAGGGCGAGTTCGTCGACTATGATGGGCCAGGAGGCGGAGGGTTTGCCGATGTATACTGCTGCTGCTGCTGCTGCTTCTGCTGCTGTGGCGGCGGCGGCGGTGGGAGGTTTGGTTTGTTGTTGTTTTTGGAGTGGGTTGCTTGTTGGGTTGTCGTTGATAGTGCTGTTGTTTTTGGCGGGACTCTTGGTGAAGAATTTGGTTAGTTGGGTTTGTATGGCCTTGGTGGGTGTGACAACTGTGTTCTTGGCAGGCGAGAGAACTGCTTTCTTGTCGGTTGGAAGAACTGTGTCCGTGATGTTGCTCTTTGTAGGCGGTGCGGGCACTGCGTTCTTGTCGGTCGAAAGGACTGTGTTCTTAGTAGCAGAAACAACTGTGTCCGTGACGTTGTTCCCCGTAGGCGTTGCGGGCACTGATGAGGGCTGGGGATTTCCCGGAACAGCATTTGGGGACGGGTTGGCTGTCTGGGGCAAGACAAGAGGGTATTTTCTAGGCCGTCCTCGTCCACGCTTGATGGGCTGTGTTGACTGGGACTCGGCGACTCCTGTCTCTGCCAATTGTCCTGGTGCGGTCTGAGATGTGGCTGGTAGCGACAATGCCTTGTTCGAGGACACATTGCTTGATGGTTCAGTTGCTTTGTGTGATTGTCCTGGCTCTGGTCTTGTATTCACGGGCGCATCGGTGAATTGCTCTGGTCCGCGGGGTGGTCGAGGGGCTTTTTCGGCTTTCACCCGCTTGGCCGCATGCTGAAGCGTATCGTCGGCAGACACATTGTTTGCATCTTTGTTGTTGTTCTTGTCTTGCACGCTTGGAGCTCTTTTCCGCTGCCAATAACGGCGATGCACAAACTCGGGCTCAACAACCGGAACACCCTCTGGTAGGGTGATTCTATCGGCCTCTGGTAACTCTTCCCCGGCTTCTCTTGGTGCTGGTCGTGGTCTAGGCGCGGTTCTAAAGACATGCACACCTTGCCCGGGTTTATAGCAAATACTATATCCCTTTACTCCCACGTCCAAGACGCTGATGTGTTCGACTTGGTCAGGCAGGGAAGCTGGGTCGGCGACAGGTGTCTCCCCCTCAACCTCGGACTCTTGTTCTTCCATTACCATGTCGTTACTAGGCAATGGGAATTGGCTTTGTTCAGCCGGCTTTGGCCAATACTTGTCGTGTATTGACACCGACTTGAACATGTCATCCACTTCTTCGACGGGATGATCCCAAATCGACGCCGGCATGTTTGCCGTGTCTTCTTTGTCGCCATCGCTGTGGATGTCTTGGGCTTGTTCGGCATACACAACAGTCATGTGTGTCTCCGCCTTCTTCTCCAGATGGCATACAAAGTTCTTATAGAACTTTCGGTTCTTTTTATCCCACATGTATTTGTGTAGCTCGATGCGCTCTGCATCGTCTTCACCTTCCGACAGAAGTCCCTCCTTGAAGAGTTGTGTCTTATGGGCAGATCGTCGCTGTCTGCGTTGCTCTTGGTAAACCATCTGACCGGGCTGGTAACCGATCAGTGTCCCGTACTCCAATGGTCGTAGACAACCTCGGGGTGCCTCGTCCTCGGTTGACATAGGGTTGGGAACGGGACCGCTGCTTCCTCTGACGGGTTGGAATTGGCGTAGCGAGGTCGATGGCGATGACAGTGGCGCTAGGGAAAGTGTCGGTATGGTGGTAGGAGGCCCCATGAAGCTATCGTATGCATTCTGGGTAAAGGCAGGGGGTGCAGAAGGCATATACTCTGCGAGGAAGTCCTCAATGTCCTTGTCATCTGGCTGTGCCAGGAAGTCCCCAAAGGTCATCATGTCTTGTTTGAATTTCTGGGCAACGATGTGCATGTCCTCAATTTGCCCAATGTCCACGTCCTCCTCTAAATCGCTGTCCGCCTCTTCCATAAATCTGTAAGCAGATGGTGATTCAAACCCATCAACAAGGTGCGATTCATCTGGTGATTGGATGGGTTGCTCGTGAGCGGCAGGTTGGGTGGGAGGAGTCTTGGGAGCTGAAGGGGAAGCGATAGTTGGTTCGGGACTTTTCCGGACTTGGAATACCAAGTCAGTGAAGGCTTGTTCTTGTTCTCCCTTATGTTCACTCTTCATGGTTTGTGAATCGCCACTGCTGCTACTACTACCACCGGCAGGCTGCGTCTCCTCGGGTACTGGCTGTGGCGCTGGGAGAATGCGCCTGTAAACCCGAGGGCGGCTTGGTGTCCGTCGTGTAGGTCTTCTTGGTGCCATCTTTTGGTTCTTCTTCTTTTGTTATTTTGTGTATGTATGAAATGCACTTGTGAAGATACCGCGTGATCGGCTGTGATGTAGGTTCTTGTGTTGACAAGAGGTAACGATGAAAGTAACAGGAATGTTAAGGTTGAGATGAGTTGTTGCAGAAGGGAAGCTCAATTTGCAAAAGGTGTGTGATGAAATCATGTAGAAAGGAACTCGAGGGATGGGAAGGGAAATGCAGGTACACTTATAGAACTTTTGGGGGGCGTCGAGGTATTGTTGATACAGGTGACATGTTATTGAGTGAATGGGAGGGACATCGTTGTAGGTACATCACATTCAATAGCATATCAACAATGTACACAATAGGGAAATGGCGTTGTCAATAGCGTTCTAGTCACCACGACTGCCTACTGGTTAGAGAAGTCACTGGATGGTGACTATTAACATACATGTATGTTCAACGAGGCGCTAAGAGTCGATTAAAGATACAGACATGTATGTTCAATGAGGCGCTAAGAGTCAATTCGAGATACAGACATCACGCCACTCCTATATACCAGTTGACATTGACCAATGACCATTCTGTTTATGCTGGCATTTAACCCTCACAAGCACTCTCAATCTCAATGGGATTCACCTTCTCAACCCTAGCATTATCCGAACCAAATCGCACCATCTGCCCATTGCCAGTCTCTGCCGGTGACCATCCCAGCTGTGCCAACCCATTCTGGGGATCTGTAAGAAAGGCCCATATGTAATCCTGCATATTCTCAGCAACCTGACGTTGTGACTCTGTTACCCCTCCGGTGAGATTGTAACTGCCAAATATCATTGGGATATCTGCTCCATGATAGGCACCCATCCAGGTATACGGTGTCATGTTGGAATAATTACCAACATATTGATAACGATAAGTTGTAAGATAGTTGTCTGCCCGCACATTGGATGTATTGAAAGCTGGACAGATAAAGTCACTCAATGTGCCCTTATCAACGTCGGTCTTATTCGGCCCTGCCATCAATGAGTCGACAGGATATTCAATCAAGCTTGCTTGCTCGTTGGATGTGGTAGACACAAGCGCCGGTACTTTGGAAATCAACCCTCTAAACGCCCGATCGGTGTAGTTCTTAAAGATGATCTTATCATCGGCCGTTGGGCGAAAGAATAAGGATGGTTTGGTCTTGTTATCTCCACGGTGCCCCACAAAGTCGGATATCAGACTTGCAGGCACCTGTCTCATGCAGTCTAATTCCGCTTCTGGCTCATCCGGAAAATCACAACCTAGCTCCCTGGCCACAAAAGTAAAGTTTGTCTGCAGAGCATTATCCCCTTGGGCAAACGTACGCATTGCCGTTCCTGACATGAGAAAGAAGGCGGCAGCTAGGGGCTTCGTTGAGTATGCAAAGTTCAAGATATCAACAGATAGAGCACCAGCAGAGTGTCCCCATACGGTGATCCGATGTCTGTCCCCACCAAACGCTTCGATATTGGAGTAAACCCATTCCAGTGCGAGTCTCTGGTCGAGGATTCCGACATTCTGCTCTTGCAAGCCTGCAGCGTTGGGGAAACCGAAGATGTTGACGCGATAGTTGACCGCCACCATGATATGCTTCTGCGTCCGATTTACCCATCCAGCTGGGTTGTAGTATGGCGCGCTTAAACCCCCTGTCTTGAAACTTCCTCCGGGGATGAACAAGCCAACCGGAAGTTTGTCTCCTCTGGTGGCATTGATAGGAGTCCAGACAGCAAGACTCAGGCAGTCTTCGGAACTAGTCTGCGCCATCTCACCCGGATGGTAACTCTGGTCGCTAGTAGGTATTACAAAGTCTGTGATATTGGAGTTCCATAGCGAGAGTTTCTTCGTCAGATACTGGGGACATGGTGGTGGGAATCGGTGGGAGTAGTGGTGTTCACGTGACTTCGGGAGCGCTACGGGGGGTCTCCATCGTAACTTCCCGACAGGGGGTTTCGCGTACGGGATATTGCGGAATTCTTTGACTTCAGGATATGTGGGGTGTAAAAGGCTAGTGTAAACTCCTGTTTCGGTCTTAACCGTCAAATTGGTGCGACTGCTCGAAATATGATGGAAGCTGGGGTGATCCGGACTGCCTAAAACTAGCAACGGATCGACGAGGTAGTATAGGATTAGAAACTTCATCATATCCTCGATTCGTTAAGAGTGATACGTAAAATCGTGGCTACTTAGGATTACCCTTTACCTGTGCTCTTTATATATGTCCGAATATGAGACGCCGTATGATGGTAGTGCCAGTTTAGACTTTGGGTCCCCCCAAAGCAATGTGGTATCCGATGTAACTGGAAGCCGCGGGGAGAAGGCCCATCTTGAATCTTGGGGAATCACGTTATGGTTTGGAGTCCAACGCCATATCTTCATTGGTCTTTATGATTTTTCTGGTATCAGCGCAGATTGCCTACATTCATGTGCTCTGAAATCTATTTCTTCTCGACCACACGCAACTGCAGGAATTATCATTAGGCTAAACTATGTTTATCTGGGGGGGTTCGGCAAGTGAGAGAATCGTAGGTTTAGTTGGATGACTGAATTGATGACCAGAGAACGATGGATTGATCGATGTCGGCCTGTTGGGTTGTGGCCAGTAGCATAATACGTGGTGGTCCTGGTATAAAGCGGACATGGACAGAATCCTTTTACTAGTCGACTTCCTCTCCTAAACACCAAGATTCTTCGATCTACTGAGCCAAAGCTGGGCCTATACGTTTCTGTTAATAAGTTTCTTCTTCTGTAACAATCCTCCTTTGGTATGTAGATTAGGATGGTCAGTGTAGCAAAAGACATTCCATATCACATTGCGGACACCAGGTAGGTAACGATGCCATTCTGCCAATTATGCTGGCGAAGGTACGTATTACGCCAACTCCATCGCATGTATTGTCGAGAAACCGCAACACGTAGCGGGCTCGTGGTAGTTCGCCAACAGGGAGGCTGACATTAATTAGCAATATCCCAACTCCCAATTTTCATGTTGCACCCAGCTCCTCTTTCATTGTTCCCACCCATTCCCCGGTCGCGACGTGCGCAAGGACATAATAGCCTTGTTCTCCTGCATATTGATTACGACTCCCTATCCCTGTTTGGATGGTTGACAAAGACAGACACACGTCAGCTATCACATCATAAATTATAATTGAGGAAAGGGGGGAAAAGAAAACGGCGACGCGTAAGTGTATACTGATCCACAAGTAGGACTGATGTTGTGCAGAAATAGACCTGCAACCGAGTTCTTGACAAGGGACTCTTGATTTCGGGGTTCGGAATAAAAAGCCATCAGACGTCTGTTCTAGGTTTAGGCGGTCTAGATAAGGTACGGCCCTAAACTATTTCTGTCCATAGGGCTCAGATATCGGCAATCGGGCATGGCAGGGATATGACTGTACACTAAAAATCTAGCTCCTACGATCAAGCAAACAAGCAATGCGCGCCTTGAATAATTACATATTGTACCACTGGGAAACACAACTTGCCCGGTTAGCTCAATCGGTAGAGCGTGAGACTCTTAATCTCAAGGTTGCGGGTAAGTAACATGTTCAAAAAGTCAAGAGTTGAACCGATTCATGATAATTAACAGATTGAAAATAGGTTCGACCCCCGCATTGGGCTCAATTCCTAATGCCACTCAGTTTAACTGGGTGTACAACCTCCTTTTTTTTCTTTTTCTCAAATTATTTGTTCCAATCCTACCTTGGATTTTTATGCTGTGGCGGAAGGCTCGATACTAGGCAGAAAGAACTTGGAATACACGCGTACAAGTCCTATATAGGCCGTCGCTTCCAAGTTTTTTCTTCTTCTTCAACTTTGCAGCTAGACTTATCCAATTGGTGCAAATAAGCTACAAGTGAATGGAAATCGCAGGGATGTACATAAGCATACAAACACCGACGACCCAGTTTAGCGGTACCATAACGTTGTCGTGGGGGCCAAATGCACAGCAAGGTTTGCGATCCTTTAATGAATATGTTGCAGTTAGGGTACTTTATCTACCTACCTAGTCCACTTGGTAGGTGAAACTGCTGACCAACATCATATTCATTTGATTTAACATTTAATGAGCCTCGCGTCGAGGGGGAAGATGAGAATGATCCCTTCTGCATGTCACAGATAAGGTCTTCTTGTCAGCATCATCAATTTCCTCGCCGGTAATTTGCCGTTGGGCAGCCACCATTCTGCCATCGTCGGACCTTGCTTTGACTAATCTCAACAATGGCGACGCGTCCAGCATCTGGGGAGCCTTACGGAAACGATGAAAACTCGGGGAGCTCCGAACACACACCACTGCTGGTTGTAAATCGTGGCGGAGAAATCCTTTGCCATGGCCCGGGACCGCACCACCAAGAAACCATTGCCGCTATTAAGGCGGCAAGGTCCCGATACCAGTTGCCTTTATTTGTAAGGGCCCTGGTACCAACGCCTCAAAGCTCCGCTAGCATCATCTCGGTGTTATGCATCGTTATTTTTGTTGGTTCGGCCGCCGGCGGGTTCCAAAACATGTCCATGACTAGAATCTTTGAGGATATCTTATGTCGGCGGCACTACGAGCGAATTCACAGTCGCGATCAACCCATTAGCGAGGAAATGTGCAAGGTCGACACCATCCAGTCTGAGCTCGCATATCTTCTTGCCATTATGAATTCTTTCAATGCCGGCTTTAGTGTTATTGCTGCCCTTCCTTGGGGCATCGCTGCTGATACGTGAGTTTATTCTCTCCGTGGCCACTATATCTTCGATCTGACGGTGCTGACACTAAATTGTCCGTAGAATTGGCCGCCGCCCAGTTTTCGCATTGAGCTTGACGGGCATGTCTCTGGCCATACTTTGGATTATGGTCGTCGGTTGGTTTCATCAGAGTATCCCTCCGCGTCTTATCTGGTTATCGCCTGTCGCATACCTTCTGGGCGGTGGTAATCCAGCACTTTCAGCCGCTGTCGCTAGTATGGCGACAGATGTTGTATCCGAGTCTGAAAGGTGAGATTCATTTGGCCCTTTGTCAACAGGGGGAAAAGACAACTTATGTTGACATGAACTTCAGATCCGTCAGCTTCATGCGGATCCACGGTGCCAGTATGGTGGGCAATCTGATCTCACCAGCACTGGCCTCAATAATGATGTCTTCGACCGGACCTTGGCCGGTACTATTCGTCGCCTTCTGGTTGACTTGGCTTCCGGCCTTTGCTATCTTCCTGGTTCCCGAGAGCTTGGGAACAAAGTCCCGGGGTGACGAATTACAACCTGCCCATGCCAGCTTCAAGGCAAGGTCGCTCCACACTCTTGACGAACTGAAAAAATCAGTTACTATATTCAACTCGCCGCCCATGATTATAATCCTACTCATCACCATGCTACAGCTGGCTGTCACGTTATGCACTTTCCAATTCCTTGGCCAGTTCACCTCGAAGCGCTATCACATTCCCCTCGCAGATACAGGTTTTATCCAGTCCGCCTACGGTGTCGCCTTCATTACTGTATCATTCTTCGTCTTGCCTCTAGTCTCGTCTTACGTCGTGACCTTGAAGGCGCCCTCTTGGTTCCGCTTTGGCGATGAAAAACAGCGCGACCTTTTTTTCGCCCGTTTCGCTTGCGCAGCGTCGATAGTGGGGGCATTCATACTTGGACTAGCCCCATCTATTCCTGTATTTGTGCTAGGTCTTTGCGTCCTAGCATTTGGCGCGGCAGCTGAGAGTTTCCTCAAGGGCGTGGCCACTCTCTTCGTCAGTCCCGAGCGACGATCCCGGCTATTCACCATCCTAAGCCTCGCAGAGATCGCAAGTGACTTGTGGATCTCCCCAGCCCTTGCAGCATTATTCTCTCTTGGTATGCGACTGGGGGGCATTTGGATGGGCCTACCATACTTTGGTGTCTCTATTATTTGCGTCTTGATGCTTGCTTTGGCGCTCTTTCTGAGGCTGCCAAAGGATATCGGGGGTGATGAAAGGTCTGATTCAAATGAGGATTATCGGTCAGAATCGGCCGATCCCACGATGTAATGTAGGTAGATATCTTTCCGGACCCAAAAGACTCGGGCGACAAACAAAGGGAAGAGTATACGCTCACTGCAAAATCATCCAGAAAGATAAACTTTATTGCCGTGTCTCATGTACTTGTAGTATACGTGTTGATTTGTTATAAATACTATTCAAGTACGTACGCAGGTAATCCTCTGGCAAACATTGGTTAATCCTATATGGCAATACCCGTCACTTTCCTTCCCATATGTTATATCTGACATCACTTTTGGCCATGTCTTCGGTAGATATTTTGAATTAGTGTCCCCCCGGGTATTGGACTTTTTCTGTTTCTTAGAATGTCTGTTTTAGTACCTAGGACACGAAGGACCGAGGCTCTATTCTGGCATGAGCATCCCTTTGGGTGATGTGCAATGTGGTGGGAAGGTGCGTCGCAGTCCACTTATGTACAGGGCCCCACAGTGACGACAATTGAGTTATAGAGCTAAGGAGGTACCTCTATGTGAAATTCGTCTCCCTCTACAGCATCACTGTCACCTCTCCATACTGCCACACAGCAGGAAAGGCTATCGGATTACCTGCGGCTGTGGGTAGATTCCGCTACTGATACTGACGATGACCTCGACGTCCTCTCCGACGACGATGGGGATATATAGGAGCTAGACCACGAGCGTGGCCGACGTCTGCGTCGAATCTTAGCCTTCAGTGACAGGAAGGCGGTTTTCAGCATCCTTCTGCGCGACGGCTTCACCGACTCGGTACTTGGACTGTATTTAGACTCGGTGTCCGTATCCGGTACTTCAACTATCTCGGGCTCTGGAAATACCGGTATTCCCGACATGGGTGGGGGTGGGCGAGGAGGCGTAGGAACCGGAGGCGGAGAGGGACGCCAGGGCCTTTGCGGTCTGCCCGTAGAGTCCTCTTTACCGATACGCGTGCGGGATCTGGGCCGCGGCGGCCCCTTTCCATGCAACCCTGTCGGAGCCTCCACCGCCGGCCACATATGCATCGTTATGTGCCACCCGGGTTGGATGATCTTGTTCCAGATCTGTGGCAGGAGGATACCGCCGTCTGGGCCGACCAAATCATAGCGACCCTTCTGGACCTCAGATTCCAGCACATCAAGGTGGCGGAATGCCGTCAGGATAATCTCTTGCATGCCCTTATGTTCCGCCTCGTCAGCAACATGTCCCTACACTTCCCTGCACCCATTGATCACATCGGGACAAAAGGAACGGGTTATGGTTCCCTGTAGGTTACGTACCTGCCAAGTGCGGCCCTGGTCGAATGGAACGACGAATTTCCGCCCCACGGCGTCCTTGAGATGAATCTGCCTTTCGTTTTCGAGATCCTTCTGTGCTCTCTCGGTCGCCCACTTCACCACCTGGTCCTTGTACTCGTTTTCTTCGAGAAATCTTTTGACTGCTTCCTCGCGAAACTTCTTGACGGTCTCCTCGCGAGCCTTCTGCTTGGCTTCCTCTTTAGCACGTTGCTCTTCCTCTTCCTTGACGCGCTTCTCTGTTTCCATCTTCTTTTGTAACTCTTCCTCCTTTCGGCGCAGCAGTTCGGCCCGCTCCTTTTCCTGCCGTTCCCTTTCCTGCCGCTCCTCCTCCACTATCTTTCTATATGCTGCTTCTTCGGCCTTTCGCCGGATCTCGCTCTCCCTTTCCCGTTCAAGAAGCTCTTCTTTGTTCTTACGCCGCAGTTCTTCCTTTAGTCGCTCGGCAGCCTGCTCCGCTTCTTGGGCTTTCTTCTCCGCGTCGCTCCTCCTAATCGTCTGGAACTCGACCTGGTTGCCCTCATATTATTAGACATAGTCAACAGCGAGACGGCATTATCGTTCAAAGTCCCCTGATTATTACTAAAACAGAAGAAGAAAGCGATAACATACCATTTTTTGCAGTTTGAACTGCTCTTTTATCACCTTCTGCGCCTCCTGATACGCGGCCTTCTTGGCGTCCTCGAGTTTGGCGTCCAATTCGTCTATGGCAGCTTTCGTCTTGTCGTCCTTCTCAGACTTGCTCTCTTCCATACGCGCCTGCCATTGTTTCCTCGCCTCGGCTTCCTCACGGGCTATCCTCTCAGCTGCCTCTACGGCATCCTTCTTTATTGCTTCGACTGTGTCGTTATGGCTCCGGATTAGTTCACCCAAGTTCGAGTATCGGGACGATACGTGGGGGAAAAAGGAAAGAAAACAAAGGGAAGCTTGCCTTTCTTGAGTCCTTCGAGGATCTCTCTCCGTTCCTGTTGCCGTTCGCGCTCAGTCTCCCTCTCTTTCTCGTCCCTGCGTTTGAACTCGGCTCCTAGCATCTCTTGTATCCTTGTCACTAGCCTTGCATCTTCTACAGCTCGGCTGTTCGAAGGGGGCGGGGCGGGAGGCCCCGGATTGTCCCTGTTACCGAGGGCAGGTACTGATACGGGTCGCTCCGGTGCCTTGTTCCTGCTGCTTTCTTTCGGGTTCGCCGGGATAACAATCTCTCGCTCCCGCATCCGCTTTGGCTGCCCCTCTCCTTGCGCACGCTTAGATGGACGCGGTGTTTCGATAATGATCTCGCGGCGTCCGGCGGGCTCGCTCCGTAAGTAAGGATTATGGCCTTCAACTGGCATGGCCGCCCCCTTCAGTGGCTTCCCCTCCGACTT